CACCTGGAGTCGGGTGTGGAGACAGATGTGCCCAAAGCCAGAGATCAGACAGAGTTGCATGTTAAAGCACTCTGCTGACTACCTTTTTGCCCCTTCCCAGAGTTGTGGAAGACAGCTAGAGGAGGGGCCTGGGTCGAGTCTGGACTGCGCCCCCAAGTGGGAATTCCCGTGGTTCACGGCTCTGTGGACCTGCTTCCTGGCCTAGGGGCTCGGGAGCTGCTTGTCTGCCAGCCTGCAGGAAGACTCTTCTGAGTCCTGAGTCCCTGAGCTGCAGGCCCCTCCTCCCCGTGCATCTGGTGTCTGTGTACCCATCGCCTGGCCATGGCCTGCTGTTACTGCAGACATCGCCCTGGTGATGTTGGCAGAAGCACCTGGCAGATCACCTACCCGAGTGACGGGCTCTGCTCTTTGTGGAGACCTGCAGGCAAGGGCAGGGCGGGTCTCCAGAGTGCAGGGCGGTGTTCTTGGTGGGGAATGGGGATGCCCAGACCTGTCACACTTCGGTCACTTGGCTTGCCAGCCTGCCCTCTGCCCTTCCCCCCAACCCATGAGTCCCTGCTCGTGTGCACCCTGGCCTCCTGTCTGGGCTTGGGCCTCACCCCTGGGTGTCGACTCTGATTTTGGTGAGCTCTTGGCTTTTCCTGCGCAGCTTTGCTATGTTTCTGGCCTGGCTCTGATCTCTCCTGCTCCAAGCTTGAGTCTGGGGAGGTCTGGAGGGGCTCAGGGGCCTGAGAGAGTTCAGAGCGGTTAGCCCTGTCTCGGGGTACAGGAGACCTGGGGCCTCCCAAGACTGACCTGTTTCTCTGAGCCTTCCTGAGCGGGTGGGAGGCACAGTGCTATCCTGCTCCTCGGGCCAAGATTGTACTGGGCCTCAGGGAAGGAATGGGGAGACTGCCTTTACAGGACTCTCCACCGTGTCATTTTCAGTTTTAATTTTCACTGGTCTATGTGTGCCATGCACGAGGACATTCATCGTGGGGAGGTGGTACAGGTGTATAGTGCACCTTAGTCATGGCGGGGAGTTAGTACCTGGGTATAACACACCTTAATCCTTTTTATGTTCCCTCTCCTCTTTCTCCCCCCCATCTCTTGGTCCCCTGTCCATTTGCAAGTGATTTATTTCCTTGTTTCTGATTATCTTTTATTTTGCTGTTTAATTTATGTAAACCATGTGATATTTAATCTGTGTCTGATTTATTACTTCATTTAACATTATGGTCTCAGAGTACATTCATTTTCCTACAGATGGCTCACGTTTGTCCTTCTTTATGGCAGAGTAGTGCTCCACTGTGTGTGAACACATTTTCTGTACCCACTCGTCTGCTGGTGGACAGGTAGGACACGTCCAAGCTTTGGCTGTGACGAGCTGTGCCTCTCTGAACACGCACCCGAGTCTGCGGCAGTGTCACTTGGGCTGTCACCACCCTGCAGCAGCGGGAGTGAGTGATGTCAGAACTGGGAGCAGGGCAGAAAGGCAGGGCTGCGCAGAGGTCCGTGGCTGCAGGCTCTGCGAGGGCCCTGTGCATCTAGGGCGGGTGTTCCCGGAAGCACGGTGCGTACTTTGTTCCCTTTCGGCTGCCGCTCTGGTATCCTTTGAAAGTGCTTGTCTGGAGAAAAGTGATACAGAATTGGTCATTTCTGTTTTTCTTACCTGCCTGAGAGCGAAAGCTTCGAAGTGGCTCTGTGCGTTCTCTGAAGAATCACTGTGCAGCTGGGTAGTGCCGGGCACAGGGGTCCACGGCGCCCGTCCCTCCGTGCTGGGCCAGACTCTCTCCTCCCAGCGTCTTGCAGATGACAGTCATGGGAGGTGGCTGGAGGGAGAGGGCAAAGAACCCTGGAACTCAGATCTGCCAGGGCCTTGCCAGGAGACCGAGGAGCCAGGGCTGGAGGTGGAGGAGCAGGATGAGACCCAGCAGGCCCCTCTGCTCTGTCCAGAGAGATGAGTGCTGAGTGCGGGCTCCCATGCAGACAGCACGCGGAGGACGGAGGAGAGGAGGCTTTCCACACGCCTCGGTCAGCTGAGGACGTGCTTAGCTTCTCTGCACAGCCCTTTGGGCCGAAGTCTGGCAACAACTTAGGTGCACGAGCCCCGTCCCTGGGATGGGCAAGCCTGCAGGCTGGAGTGGGCCTGGTGTGGCAGAGGAGTGGCCGTCTTGGCTAGGGTGGGACTGGAAGCTTTCTCCAAGGAGCTGGTGTTTGGGCTGAGGTCTTGTGCTGAAAGTTAGGGGAACCGCGGGACATTTGGGGGGAGGGGGCTCCGGGGGGCAAGAACAGCAGGTGCGGTGGCCCTGCGGTGGGAGCAGAAGGAACTGGGTGCGGTGGAGAGGACAGGAGATGGTGGTGGCAGCGAGGTGGGAGGAAGGAAGGGCGCGCACCTCAGGCGCCGCCCTAGAGCTGTGCTGAGGAGTTGCTCTTCATGAGGTGGGTCTGGGGACCCTGCGGGTGGGTAGACGTGTGACTGGATGTATTCAGGAGTCGGAGCAGGGCGGCCCCCACCCCGAGGTGGTCCTGGGCACCAGGCTGGTGGCTGGGTTGATGGCAGGGAGACGGGAGGGTGCCCTGTGGAGGCAGCAGGCCCCTGGGCCCTCCTGAGCTTATGGTGGCTGGAGCACCCCCATGCCATTAGATGTTGTGGTATTTTGTGACTGAGCCACCTGTCCCCTTATTTTCCTGTAACTGGGACTGCAGTCTTAGAAATACACCTTTTACGTTGTCAAGAGAGAGTGAGTCCAGTTGAATCTAAATCACTTGCCCCGGCTGAAAGCTTTCTTCAGTTTCTAAGAAATCCGAGGAGCGTGGCTGACGGAGGTGCCCAGGCTGGCTCGGGTCTCTGTCCCTGATCTTTGGTGGGCCCCAGGGGGCCTGGTCACAGCCGGCAGGGCCCTCTCGCTGACGGACGCTCCCTCTGCATCCTCTCCAGGGAGCCGTGTGCAACCCATCAGCCGCACTGGGCTTCTCCAGTGCTTGGCTGTTGAGGGAGAAACTGCCTGTGTTCTTGAAGGCTCAGGTGTGTGCACGTGTGTGACACACCCTCTGCACATCTGGGGGTTGACTGGTGTCAACTCCCAGCCCTGTGCCCTGAGCACGACGCCTCACCCACACTGTGCACACACACACCAGCCCTGCTGTGCCTCGCGGGACAGCTCAGGTGTGGGTTTCTTGGCCTTCTGTCCTCCTAGAGGAGCTCGGACCCAGAGCAGGGCGGTGGTGGGTGTGTGTGGCTTCCAGGCCTCCCACTTTGTCCAGCCACGAGGTGGCAACCTGCTGTGCTGCCCTTGGCTCTGTGAGCCCGTGCACCTCCCCGCGGCATTCGAGGCTGTCCCCAGTGACACCGTCTGTGCCGCTTTCCTCTGTGTGCCATGCCCTCGTGTGTGCCCCTCACCCTCCGTGGCTGCGAGCGCTCTGTGCTGCCTCCTGGCTGCGCTGTGTGCGCTCCGCCCTCAGCCTGGGGGGGGGGGGACCCTGCACCGCCCACCTGAGTCACACGCTGTCCTGAGACCTGCAGAGCCCCTCCCCGCGCCAGAGTGTCTTGTGTCGCCCCCTCCCTCTTGCTGTGCAGGTCCGGTGGCCGGTGCAGAGCTGCAGTTGCCACATGAGAGCTTGTGGCTGAGGTGCTGTGGCCTGTGGGTTTTTGTCTGTCACTTGGGCCCCCAGAGGGCTGCTCATGGGCATCTGCTAGGGGCAGGTGTGGAGCACTGGCACCTCCTTTCCAGGTTTCTGAACATGAGAGATGTCTAGAGGGTGCTGTGTTATTAAATGATTTTGATCTTTGAACTTGTTTAAATAGTCAGTTCTCTCTAGAAAGCTGTTGGCCTCAAATTAGAAGTGTGTGTGAGTATTTGTGCCTCAGTGTTCCTCACTCAGCACGTTTCTCAGGGGCGATGCACGTTACACGTGGGAGTTTCTCTGTGAGTCATGGAGCCATGTAGTAGATCCCCGGATGGGATTCCAGCACGGATAACGAGGGGCGTCCGGAGAGTAGGAAGTATTGGCTCTTCCAGAACGGGGCCGGGAAGGAGCACATGGTTGCAGGAAGCAGCCCTTGAGTGAGTCTTGGAGGCCAGAGGGGAGCGGTCAGCTCAGCGTAGAGGATGAGGCCCTTCAGTGGGGTCCCAGACCTTGTGCTCTGTGGAAGGGCGCTGTCACCTAGTGTGGTGAGAATGCTGGTGGCAGCGGGGGATGGCCTTGGGGTAGGGCCCAATCGGGGGGTATGGGAGCCGCAGCCTAGCTCCGAGGTTCCACTGGTGGCAGGAGTAGAGGAAGCAGAGGTCTTGAAGCCGTGAGTGAGTGTGGGCTAGTGTTGTGTATCTGTAAAACCCTCTCATAAACAAAGGTGGAGGTTTGCTGGATGCCAAGTGTACTGAAGAGGCAGATCAGCTGGAGGGAGCGCTGGGGGAGGGAGAGGAACCTGAGGTCCTCCCGTCCGTGGCTCCATCAGCTGAGTGCCTGTCTGTCTTCCTGGATGGCGAGGACTTCCCAGGGGCTTAAAGGACTCTCTTTACCTCAAGGGGGAAATTCAGAGCATTCATGCACACATCCATCCATCTGTCTGTCCGTCCGTCCATCCCTCCCTCCGTGTACCCCTCCCTCCATCTGTCTATCCATCCATCTATTGTCCATCCTTTCATCTGACTGTGCCCACCTGGTCTCCAGCCATCTCTGAAGAAACATTCAGCGGCCCAGTGCTGCGTGCTCCCCATCAAGTCCTGCCTGGTGGGGCCTGGAGGAGCAGGGAGCTCTCTTGGGAGTGAAGATGGAAGGGCGGAGCTGAGGGGGCCGGTAGAATACAGCACAGTGCTTAGGAGTCAGCAGAAAGTGAAGAGCATGGGACTTTTACAGAGAAATTAAACTGCAGTGGATGTTTATTTGTAGTGTTTGCACTGCCCTATTAGAGACAATGAAACACATCGATGGTGTGTATTTTAAGTAAAAGAGGGAACGGATTTTAAAGTCTCCACTTGTTGACCTTTTGCTTCACCATCTGTTCTATTTTCTTCCAGATTTTCGAAAGGATCCTGTTTATATGGGCGATCCGTCATCCTGCCAGTGGATACGTTCAGGGGATAAATGACCTGGTCACTCCTTTCTTTGTGGTCTTCATTTGTGAATACACAGGTAAGATCATACCGTTACAGCTTTCTGCAGACATTAAACGTGGGCTTTTGCGGACTCACTGTCACTCTGCATAATTATACCTGCAGTAAAAAGTGCCTTGAAGTTCAGTGATATTAAGGATGAGAAATAATAGAGAATAATAGTTCTACTATTGATGCTGTCTTTAAAATACATCTTTACATGCTCACCTACTGAAGATGTTAATAGACTATCACCATTGTCAATATCTTCTGTGATGATAATAATATTAGGAAGAACAATGGTTCTGTGCAGGAATTTGTTTTATTTTTCATGGCCAGCACAGCGCTGGCTTTAACGGTTGGATTTCAGCGGATAAGGTTAAGGTGAGAAGACTGTTAACTGAATATTTTTGCTTACAAGGTAAAAACCAAATCTTGCTATTTCTATGGCATTTCTTCTCTTTTCTAGTTTAGATGTAGTTAGCACATTTCATTTCATTGGCATATTAATTACATGTAAAATAATTAGTTTCACAGAGATTTAGCTTGGGCTGTGGTATTTCTCTTGAATACTGCACATTTTTCTTTCATTTTTGTTAGAACAACAAGCTAATATAACTTTGCCTATTTTTAAACATGTTTTCCATCTTGAAAAAGTGGGAAAAGTGATAGGCATGTGCATTTTAATTCTTCTGTGAATACACACACAGGAGGGGCTACCTGTTGGGAATGCATCTTCCCCGGACCCCTCCTGCTCAGCCTTGCTTGTTCCTGAGAGATGTGGCTTGGGCCACTTTGGTCTCCCATCTGCCTGACTGTCATGGGGGCCTGAGAGGCAGGTTCATCCGGGCAGAGAGAGGAGAACATACCCGTTTGTGAGTTTTACTGCAACCCTTTGCACTCTGCTTCCTTGTAGGATTTCGTAGGAGGTCTTCTCATTGCTAAGCAACTAATGAGGCTGCTGCTGTCCCTCCCTAATCATCCCTTAAGCAGGGAGAGGCTGCTCCTGAGCTCGTGCACTCTGCTCCTCACCCCCTCGTTTGACAGATAATGAAAATGTTCTTAATGATCCTGGAACAGTAGGACCTCTGTCCGTAGCCCAGAGTTGTTAATTGAAAGAAGTTCAGCTGAGATGTGATTAGAGAATTGATATTCCATGTTAAATAGACCATTTAATTAATGTGGTAAATAAGTTTGTCTTAACTACTTTACCACCAACTTACATTGTAAGACCCAAGCGATTCTTAATGCATTTTCCTGATTATCAGCAAGACAGGATGAAGGGACATGACCGTGACGTTAATTGTCCAGGAGAAGGAACAGCCAGGGGAAATGGAGTGTGTGCTCCGCACAGGGAGACCTCAGCTCAGCTCTGAGAGGCTCTCCCTGCTGACTGCTGCACACATACTCGAGTGTGTATCCACACACACACACACACACACACACACACACACACACACCTGCCATTGACTTGGGTATCCAGTGTCACTTTGGAACTTTGTGTCAAACATACTTTTCTTACGTGGACACTGGAAAATTTGGGGTCTGGATTTCAAATATGATTGGTGGATTTGTTGTCCTTTCTCCATCTCGCTTCCCAGGATCAAGAATGTTCGTTACTGTGGCCCAGGCCCATCTCCCTCTGTGCTGTGCAGCCTGATGTTTGTGTACATGTCACAGGGCACCGCTTTGCTCCCTTCTGGGGCTGAAGTTTTGTCCTGCTGCAGACTAAAGGGTGTGCCGCAGTGCAGGCCCCCAAAGTGGAGCCCCCTGGTCTGAGCACCTCCGAGCCATCTGTTGCGCTGGGGATGAAGATGGATGAGGAGTGGCTGGTTCCTGGCCCGTCGGAGCTGGAAGTTGTAGCAGGGAAGACAGGTTTTAGATGAGTGATGAAGTTTAATTAAAGTAATTAGCATTCATGTTGTCAAGAGGAGGCATGGCCTAGGTGGTCAGGGGAGGCTTCCTCAGTAGGTGACATTTCAGCACGGCTCGCAGGGTGAGCGGGCGTGGGGAGCAGCAGGGGAGCCAGTCTGGAACCAAAGTGCTCTTGGGGCGGTGGTGAGCGCTGGCTGGGGAGCCTGGGGGAGAACCCCGGGTTGAGTCTCAGGGTGCGCCTGAGACTGAGGAGTACCTCCTCAGGTCCCAGTCTTCTTCATTCACTTGGTTGTGGCCTCAGGGGGCTGGTAAATCACCGGGTGGAGCTTCCCGAGCGGCTGTGTGGTGTGCTGAACCTGTAGGGTGCTTGATCTTGAAGCGGGTAACCCTCGGGTGCTGTGTTTAGTGAAGATCTGCATAGATGGTTTTCTTCTTCAGAGGTAAACCCTGGCAATAGGATTCTGCCTATTGGATGCCTGAGCACTCTGGCAGCATTGTGGCATCAGCCCGGGCTGTCAGGTGTGGTTCAGATGCTTGCAGGGCGGGTGGCGTGGGTCCCAGTCTGACATGGGGCAGTGCCTCCTGACTTGGGGCAGCTTGTGCGGTTGTTGGGTTTTCTTTTTTCTTCAAAGTTTCGGTGTGGCAAGCAATTGCAGCTAATTGGAGATGTAAGAAAGCCTCCGTGGCAGGGGTTCTACCGGGAGTCCTCAGGCAGTGACCTCAGACTGACTGCAGTGTCCTAGCGGGGCTGGGCTTTTCCTGGGAGCGTGGTGTGCTGTGTGCCCAAGCTGGCAAAGACCTCCCCCACCATGCGTGCCTGATGTTTCTCCTGGGAGGAGAGGAAGTCTGGAGTGCAGAGCCTGATGGTGGTCTTCCAGGTAGGCAGCAGCACTGCCTGCCGTGTCTGAGCAGAGCGGCTTCTGCCCTGGACCTCCATGCATGGCCCAACTGCTAGTGCCTGCACTTAAGAAGCCTTTCCATGCCACGGTCCGAGAGTTCCAACAGGATGTGGGAAGGGGTCAGTTATCTGAGCCGGACCTTGGCTTCTCAAGCTAACTCCCTGCTTCCCGACAAGAAGGCAGGATGCTGGCTGGGTGCCCAGAGTCAGAGAGGCAACGTGGAGGATGAGGGAGCGTCTCGCAGAGAACACAGCTGGCTCTTTGCTCCTGTGTCCCGCGCTGGTGGGTCACCGGTCCTTGGACCCTCAGGACAGTCTATGTGCATCGTGCCGTGCTCAGAACAGGAGCTCTGTGTACCGTGGTATTGAAAGGAATCCTGAAAAATGCTGCTAGTTATCGTGCACTAAAGAGAAAAAACACTTCAGCTTTTAAATCTACTGAAGAGAAATACCGAGTGTAGAGCTATTGGCAGGTATAGGCAAGTGTGAAGGAGAAGCGGAAACATTCGACCCGTGAGGGGTCCTCCCCAGAAAGCAAATCTTCATCAAGGAAGGAGAGAGGCACAGGGAAATACTTGCAACAGTGGGGCAGTCGAATATTTCCCCTTCTCCTTCATACTGGCCTGTACCTGCCAGACTTCCCCAGTCTTCCCCTCAGGCTCCCCTCAGACTTCCCCTGAGTCTTTTTTCTGTGCGTTGCCTATGTGTTGTCAGTGCCATATTACGCAGTTGAGAGCACATTATGTTTACCACTGTTGCGGGCTTTTTTTGTACTTACCCTTATAACATAAAATTTTCCCTATATTATTAAATCCTTGTAAGGATCATTTCTATCTCCTGCATATAATATTCTGCTGAGATGATGTTGGATAATTCATGAAACAATTCTCCTATTGTTTTTTCCCCCTTTTCCACCTCTAGGCATGGTATAATTTTTAAGTAAAGCCTGTATTTTTCAAATAGTGCCTATCATATTCCTTTTAGGAATGTTTAATTTGTTTTAAAATTAAGAAACATTATTCAATCCCCTTGAATTGCACAACTGAAGTCAAGAAAGGTTTTTTAATTTAAATAAATACTTTCAGCATAGAGAAAAACAAAGAAGTATTATTTTCCCCCGTCTTTGATGCAACTTTGCTGTTCAAATTTAGAAACGGTTTTGACAGGGCCTTTTGGAGTAATTGTATGTTAGCTGGGCTATGGGAGAGGGATGATGACGGCTGGGTTTTGTAAGTTGAAGAGTATTTTACAGCTGTCTCACGTCGGCATGTTTAAGCTTAGACTGATTTGAGTTTGAATGTCATTTTCTCTTAAAGTACACATGGAAGCAAATATGGAGAGGGGCTAGGAATAAACAATGCATTTACTTAAAGGGCATTAAGACTTTTCATTTTGATATTCTGTGTATCAGTTGGAACCTGAGAAGTGCAGGTTCTTAGTTAAAACCTGTTACTTTTGCCTGGAAGGCAGTGCAGCAGGCAGTGAGGAGTCGAGCACAGGACATCAGTTCCCAGGAGGGTCTGTCAGGACACCGTGTGCGCAGCCCTGCCGGGAGTTTGCAGGGGCTGTATTCACGCCAGATCGGAGCAGAACTGGGCCTCCCCTGGACAGGGAGAGGAGAGCGAGTGCTGGCTTCTCCTGGCTAAGTTAGTTTTACAGTGGTTTGCTCCAACTTTCTTTGTTTGCGTTTAGCTTTTACCACACTGTACTTAGTTTTTGGCGAGTGTTGTAAAGCCAGGCTGCACTTGGGAACACCCACTCCTCTTCTCGAGGGCTCCTCACAGCGCCGGTACCTGTGTGGTCCACAGTTCATCTCAGGAGAGCTGGACGGTGAAGGCCAGCATGCCGGAGCAGGTGGGTGCTGTAGCTGTTCTGAACCGTAAGGGCCGTGGGCAGGAGCTCTGGAAGTCCGGCCGGACAGGTGGGCAAAATAGTCACTGGTTGTTGTGTAGTGCCAGCTTGTGTGTGTTCCATTTGTTGTGCAGAGATACTTTGACAGTGATCAGAGTCATGGGCAAATTGTGGGCAGTCTGTGGACAAATTGGAAAATGCAGTGGCAGTGAAGCACCACACCCCAGAGCCTGTCTCTGGAGTGCCTGGCAGCTTGCTTCTGCCTTTTGTCTAATAGCTCTCATGTTACTCATGCGCATTTCAGTGTTGTTTTCTCTCTAACGTCTAAGCATTTCCAAAGCCAGTACTTTTTAGAATGTCTTTTTATAAAGTAGTGACACACTACTTCCAACAGTGGGTAGAAGAACTAGACAGAA